CCAGGGGCTGCACTTAGGATTGGGCGTGCCCTCTGCCAACCGGGAAGCAGGCCTAAGCCAGCAGGTCGTTTATCTCCCCGAGGGGTTCCCAGACTGCGAGAGGGCACAGGCCAGGCTGGGGGACCCCCCTTCCTCCCCCGAGTGCACAAATTTTTGTGCACCGGGCCTCTAGTATAATGTATAAAGTAAGAGACTGACACTGACTTGGCTGCCCTTAGGACTGCTGGCCACCCCGGCCCACTTTAGGAGAACCCTAGACACTGGTAGGCCCCTCATTAGAAACAGTGCCACCCATTTCTGATGTCTTTCCCTTCCCCACAGTCCACTGTAGTCACACCAATTGCTGAAATTCTAGTAATTTTCAACATGGTTACTTTAAAAAGACTTTCCTCTCCTCCTCAAAGTGGTCTGCCTCAAAACAGAACTCTTAGAGCTCCCTGCAGCTCTCTCATTAGTGGCCCTTAATACACCCTCTGTCTTGTGCTACAGTTACTTGAAGGTTTTATTTCTGCTGCTATACATTTGATAGACAGAAGACAGACTATATCATATTCATTCCTCTGCTTAATACCAACTAGGTACTTAGTAAATGTCTATTGAGTATGAATACAAGTTTAAATATAAATTAGTGTAAATATCTTAAAAGAACATAATCATTAAGTAAAGGTTTTACACGTCAGTATTTGGTACTTTGTATTCTTTATGGGGAAGACCAGGTTGCCTGAGAAACTGAGCAGAGAATAGCAGAGTTCATCCAGCTCATCAAGTACTTGAGCTCCTGCTGCGTAAGAGGTAGTGTGGTACAGAAGAGACAGAGAGATCTGGATTTGAATTGAGCCTCATCTGCCCTTGGGCAACCTATTTATTTATTTAAGATTTTTAAAAGTGATTTTTAGAGAGAGAGGAAGGGAAAGGGAGAAAGAGAGAGAAACATCAATTGGCTGCCTTCTGCATGCCCCCTACTGGGGATCAAGCCAGCCACCCAGACATGTGCCCTGATGGGTAATTGAACTGGCAACCTTTCAGTGCATAGGACGACACCCAACCGACGCAGTCACAATGGCTGGAGCCAACCTATTTAACCTCTCTGAGGCTCAGTGTCCTATTCTGTAGGTATTTTTAATGAAGTATAAAAATTATAAATAAGCCGAAACCGGTTTGGCTTAGTGGATAGAGCGTTGGCCTGCGGACTGAGGGGTCCCGGGTTCGATTCCGGTCAAGGGCATGTACCTGGGTTGCGGGCACATCCCCAGTAGGAGATGTGCAGGAGGCGGCTGATCGATGTTTCTCTCTCATCGATGTTTCTAACTCTCTATCTCTCTCCCTTCCTCTC